CAGACAACTCTAAATTGTGGTAGAACTTCCTCACCACAAGCGGGCAGTAACTGGTGCTTCCTCGACCCTGGAGATCAAAGAACTTTTCCCAGCCAAGATTTTTAATTAACTTCTTCACTTCTTGAGGGAAAGGACTCAGGTGGATGAACTCGTACTCGGCCACAATAGATGTCTTGCCTGTGAATGAAAGATAGTCCCCGAGACTTGGGGTGGATCGGCAGTCGTCGTTTGATAGAGTTAGTATGCCCATTTCCGCAAACGATTTGCCTTTGTTTGCCATGGAGTCAGAGGAAGAAGGAACAAGGGAAGGTGAAGATGGAGGAAAGAGAGATTGTAGGTGTAAGAAAAAGTGATCGTGGGGGTTGAGTGTGGAGACGTGTGATGGAGACGGTTGAGTCTGGAATGTCAAGAGTTAGAAGATTTGGAAAGATATGTAGTAATGATGATGTTAACTCGTGTAGGTTAAACTAGGGTAAGTAAAGCTAGTTAAACTAGGGTTGGCGCTGATACCGCAGGAGAAAACTAATGGGCTCGCACGTTCCAGGCCCACTTTTGAATATTGCATGGGTCATGTACAAGCCCACGTTTGAATGTTATTTAAAAGCCTGCAAAAATCAATGATCAGACCCAGTCCAACTAGAATTACTCCTAAACGCAGCGTTAATACATAAACACAAACTAAGGAGACCTCTCCATCCGATTCGAATCAAATTATGTGTTCTTCATCTTCTTCCTCAATCCTCTGGGCGAGACGAACACTACATATCAGGAAACCTAAATTTCACCGAGAGATATAAGGTTCGAGAAAATCACAATAACGCTAAGACAAGATGACAAAGCACTAGTGACATGAACCCTAAGGTTAGCAAACCTCTTTCAAGGGTTCTTTTGCAAATGAAAAGTTTGATGAACACAATAATAGACATGGTCGCGTAATCGTGTTAGAAAGAGATAGGCGAGGGGAAATACAATGGCGAAGAAGAAACAAGACAAATTTTTTTTGGGAAATTCAATCTACGTCGAATGTGGATGCAAGTAATTGGGATTCAAAAAGATGATTAAAAAAAGGGAGTTCAAATTGGATGGGGAGCTTCTCTTGGAACTGTGAAGGGGCGTCCCTCCAACACGAGAGAGGGATCGTGTAATTGGTTAGGGAGACTGGAAATTGGTTTGGGCGGCAGTGGGTCTACCCAATTAGGTTTGCAGTCTTAATCCATTTAATTTAATCGGGGCAGTTAGTTGGACTAGGATGAAAACAAACTTAACGCGGAGGAGGCTTTTTGTATTTTGTTTAGTTATTTAGTGGCGCAGTTAGGTTTAACAAACGTGAGCCGTGGAGATTGAAAACGAATGGTTAAGATCGGCCAAGGTACCCGTACCCGGATTTTGCCCTGGGCACCGTAGAAGTCACCATATATATATATATATATATATATATATATATATATATATATGGACTCGACTCGTATGCTCCTGACACATAACATGCGACAGATCTTTATACCGTTGATCTAATCTAACGGTCATTATAAATTATATTAAAATTAATAATTATAATTACTATTTGCACCCCTTAAATAATTATATATGCTATAAAGTCCACAAACAAAGATTACCGTTATGTTTTCTCGTATGATACCATATTTCGTAGGCTTCTTTAATTGAACACCCAAAATTCTATAATTAACAATAAAAGAGGTCCATTAAATTTTGCTCCAATTAATCTATGGTCATCATCCCACAACCCACAGTCCAATTCGACCACCATCGTCATCATCTGTTCATCATATCTTCCCTAATAGCTAACTCATTATTTGACCATCATCATCAAAACCAAACAACCATAAAAACTTAAATCCTAGAGAGGCGATCTAAATTTAATCCGTAAAATTCATGTTTTAGGTTTTCTGATTATGTAGAGTTGTGGTTGCTCCCCTCGTCCAACCCAAGACTTGAGCTCATCCTCGGCTGTAGACTGTTCATCAACTCCAGTCCAATTTCGTCCCTGTTTCCGACCTGCATCGACGTCAGCTCATCATCTACTTTTAAGTTTTAAGATGGCAGCGGACTGCTACCCTTTAGTGAAGAATCGAAATCAGTTGACGGTGGAGGATTGAAGAAATAATGAATATCGTCGTTTCCAAGATGCAGAAATCGGTGGTGGAGCGCGCGTCTCGTCGGCGGGATTCTCGTGGCCGGAATTGAGAATCGAAACGGAGAAACTGCAGTCTGCAGAGGGAGATAACGGGGAAGAAGACGAGTGACGACGGGCCTTTTCGTGTTCCCGACTAAATCAGAAAACGACGTCGTTGAAAAAAACGTGTAGTCGTGCAGTTGTGACATGGAAGGGGTTGGACTGTGGAAAATATAAACGTATTAAGAGCATGGGGTATCAAACCCCCAAACGCTGGTGATATTGAGCGATGACTTCCACCATCTTGGCTGTATAAGAATGATAACAAAATTATTGTACAGCTTTATTAAATTTTTGTCCTAAAATCAAAACCTAATACTCAAACTTCGACCATAAGCATCCCTCATTATTTAGTCATTGATCTACCATTTGATGAGAAGTTCGAATACTTAGAAGGATTTGATGAATTAGTTAAAATATGGTGGAAACAAAGAAGCACACATTGATAAGTATATTTTCTTGCTTCTCAAGTTGACATTCATTCTTTCGGTTTCACAACTGCACTTCATATCTTTTGTTTCAGTGTTGTATTTCATCTTCACGGCCTTTCTTTGTTGAACATGGTTACAATGTCGGTAGTAAGTTCCTCTCTCTAGTTCCTCTTGTTCTTTATGCATGCAGTAACCTGATCGAGTTCACTTTTAAATTTAAGAAATGCTAATTTTGAGTACACCGTAAATGCACTTTGTTTAATGTGCATTAAGATAGTCAACTTGAGAAGCAATAAAATATACTGTCACAAATGTGAAAGTTGGGGCTTGGGGCTATAATTGTTACAAACGTGAAAGTTGTGAATATAACTGTCACAAACGTGAAAGTTATAGTTATGGAAGTGTATTTTGGTTATTTTTTGTTAATCCACGTGGATTGCCAACTCAATAGTTCCGTCAGTCTAGTCATACTGTTAAGTATCACCGTTAAAGGGATGAACGAAATTGTTTTTTTTTTTTTTGTGTATTTCGAAAGTTTGTGGTTATATTTGTCTGACAAACGTGAAAGTTATGGTTATGGAAGTGTTTTTTGCCTGATATTTAATAAATATGATTTACTATATAACTTGAATATGAGATAAAATGTTTAGTTTATAATTTTTAAGGACAATTATATATAATAAATTTGTAGGATTCTATTTACTATTAAATATGTTTATGTGACTTGAATCGGACTACTAGCCACCACGACTGCAAGTGAAACGGGCTCTCTCTCGCCCGTGGACTAGCTAACACGCATCGTGTTAGTGAACCACATAAATCGTGTGTCTATTTTCGATTTTCGCTTTCGTATTCTTGTTTTCTCGATTCCGGCAATTTCCCGATCCGTAGCAGCGTAGAAATAACAAAATAGCATGAGCTAGATATATTTACATACCATGCCAATATAAACGAAATTGAATGGGATTAAATACATATAAATTTCCCTCTAGATTTTCGTTACTATTAAAAATAATTGCGGGAGAAATAATTTTAAAAAGCAAAATTTTCCCTCTCATTTTTTAAGAAACCTTATTTTTGTCCGCCAAAACGTTTGATGTCCTCTTTTCAAATTTCAACTGCGGCTGCTTTATTCCTTTTCCAATTTCCGCCAAAAACAAAAATATAATTCTTTCAAGTTTCATCTCCCTGCTCCATTGCATGTCGTCATCTGAAAAGGGGAGTTGACGAATCTGGTCGATTTGGAGGGATATGAATTTGGTCGACTTGGCCGACGGTCGAAAGTGTGGTCGCGTCCGTATTCTTCTTTCTTCCCCTGTTTCTGGAGCAATGGGAGCTCGATTGAAAGTTTCAAGCAAACCTCAACAAGATTGCGCTCGATGTGCACGACGATGATGATGAGGAGCTCGAGATCTATGGTTTCGGTAAGGGTAATTGAAAGTTTGGTACCTGATAGCAGGAACTCCCATAGTTTTTGTTTCTTTTTTTTTTTTTTGTTTCTTCTGTTTCTTTGATTTCCTTTTGAAATCGGGATATGACTGGGCACTTCTTCCCTTCCTGTGCTCAGCGAGAATAATTCTGGCGAAACCAGGGGCGACGGCTCAGCCAGTCCTCCCGCGGACCTGTGGCTGTACAACACAATGACGATGAAGAAGGAGCTTTTCAATCGAAATTGGACGGTAAAGTTGGAATCTCTGGTCAATTGTGTGTTCTCTGTGAATTCTGAAGCTTGTGATTGATTAGGTCTTTGGCTTTTTGGTTGGGACTTAGGCAGATATCTAAGACATTTGGGATATGACGTCTCCTGCGTTCGGAATTCCACATATATCTATGGTGTATGCATCTCGCATAATAAATCACTCAAAGGTGGGAGGAGAAATGTTGTTGCCCAATCTTCACTGCTCCTTATGCAGGTATCCGCCCGTTCGATCAGACTTCTTCCCCTCATAGTCAATCGCAAACTGCTGAAGACAAAATGGGTGTGCAGCTTCTGAACCTTGGAGGCCCAGAAACACTTCATGATGTTTAGCCATTCTTGTTCAATTTGTTAGCCGATCCAGTATGGCCATTTCCCGCCTTTCTCATTGCTTGTTTATGGCCTTATGCACCATCTTCAGGTTTATGATTAACCCTACTTCCAATTTCTCGCTACAGGATATCATCCGTTTACCTAGGCCATTCCAATTTCTTCATAAGCCATTGGCATAGTTTTATGACATTCTACTAGGAGCACTTCATCTTTCATGCTTATCAATTGCTTAGTTCCGGAAGACTAAAAGTAGACTGGATGTTATGAATCGGAAACTAGAGTTCTTTTGCCGATTTTCTATTTGATGATATGCCTGAAGGTTCCTTCATTTCCAGATGACATAGCAATGGCTCTTCTAGAGGAAGAGCTTGGACAACCCTGGCAAAATGTCTATTCTGAACTGCTGGTATGCTCATTGAGAATAGAGTTAAAAATTATGCTAGTTTCTGGACTCAGTGTTTTAGAGAGAGTATTTATTATTTAACGATCACCCTTTCGCATCCATGTGCAGCCTCATTAGGACAGGTATATAAAGGTTGTCTAAAAGAAACAGGCAAACTTGTAGCTGTTAAAGTACAGAGGCCATATGCTCACGAGACAGTCACAGTCGATCTTTTCGTCATAAGGAACATATGCTTGTTTCTGCGGAAATTTCCTCAGGTAGGATTTCAAACTCTGTTTGGACGTCTGTGAGTAACATACCCTGTGAGGATTGTCAGTAAGGTAATGATGTTCTTTCCTAATTTTCACTTTCCCATCAGATCTCTATCGATGTTGTTGGATTGGTTGATGAATAGGCCGCTTGCTTTTTTGAAGAGCTAGATTCCGTCAATGAAGGTGAAAATGGGACTCTTTTTGCTGAAATGATGAGGAAGGACCTTCCACAAGTGAGTTTAGTAGTTACTAGTTTGTACTTTGTTAGTATACTTGAATAAAATTTTCATTTGAGAACGGTTGTTTGCAACGTAAGTATCTTTGGACAAATAGACCAGAGTGAACTACAAAAAAGTGGCCAGAGAGGCTCAAGAGACAGAAAGAGATGGCTTAAACTCACATGGACCTATTTTAAGACGTACGAACCCCTTTTATGCTTTCACGAAAACACACCTAGGTCAGGGCAGCAATAGAAGAGCTCGGTGAAGTCAGGATCCATAAACACATGATGGGAAAGCAAGGATGAATACTTTATCCAACTGCTAGATGTCTCTTTCATGTAAAATCCTCTTCTATTCATTAGGGGGAATTATGTTGTGTTCAATTATTTCAGGGACAAGAACAAGATGCAGAAGAATAAGGAGAGCAGGAGGAGAATGCAACTTTGTATCTGGTCCAATAGCCTACAAATCACGTAAGACATATCGTCATCGAGGAAGCAAATGGGAATGCGTCGAGATTTGTTTCTCAGACTCATACGTACAAGAAAGTCGAAAAAGGCTAATCAAGAACTAGAAGATTTATAGGGAGATAGTGGTTCCTGAATTTTATAATTTATGCTTGCCTTTTCAATTTAAGAACTTGTTCATTATTTTTTTCACTACAAATTTCAATCTACATTAGATATTTTCTTCAGTGGCAATAGGGTTGTTTCATTTCTCGTGCAATAGTCAATTCTGGATATTGGTTCCCAGTCCACACCCTTTTATTGAGCTTGTGGTTGATTAGTTCAACTGCTAGTTCTCATCCAACCTAATGTTGTTCTCAACATATTAATCTAAAGTGTAAACCATATTGACCCATCAATGCTCAAAAGCTCTGAAAAGGAATCAACACCATTTGAGCTCAACACCATCGGCTTGTTCTTCTCATAATTATTTTCATCACTAGTTTGGATCATTTCTTTCTTCAGTTTGTCCCTCCCAATCACACACCCCCTCAAAACTGGAAAAAATCCCACTGTACACATGTTTTTAAAAAAAAATCTCAAAATACATATGTTATGAAAAAAATTCCCAAACTACGCATGTTTGGGTCTTCACCGCGTCATACTAAGGCGGTGATTGCTTCACCGCGTTAAAGAAGGGCGGTGATGCAATCACCGCGTTACAGAAAAACGGTGATTGCATCACCGCTGTAGACAAAAACGGTGATAGCTTCACCGCGTTCGACGGCCGCGGTGAAGGCCTGACCTGCGTCGAATCTTTAAAAAAACGTAACTTTGTGCTCGGTTATCCGATCGTGGTGAAATTTTTTTTTATTCCGCATAATTTTTCGAGATCTTGCATTGGTCCCGCCTTCGTCCCGAAAAAACGTCGTTTGCTACCCCGAACGAGCCTTTTTTCAATTTCGTCAAACTTTGGACGACCATAACTTTGTGCTCCACAATCCGAAAATCATGAATTTTTTTTTGATTTTGCATAACTTTTTGAGGACTACAATTTTTAGTAGGAGAGAATTTTCAAAAAATGAATTATTTTGGATATACAGGGTTTTGAGAATAAGTTTACCTTTCCTTTTTAGGAATCCAAGTACATTCCGAAATTATGTCTATGATAAAAATTGTAGTCCTCAAAAAGTTATGCAAAATCAAAAAAAAATTCATGATTTTCGGATTGTGGAGCACAAAGTTATGATCGTTCAAAGTTTGACGAAATCGAAAAAAGGCTCGTTCGGGGTAGCAAACGACGTTTTTTTCGGGACGAAGGGGGGGATCAAACCGCCTGCGGCTTGCAAGATCTCAAAAAATTATGCGGAATCAAAAAAAATTTCATCACGATCGGATAACCGAGCAAAAAGTTACGTTTTTTTAAAGATTTGACGTAGGTCAGACCTTCACCGTTTTCCTCTAACACGGTGATGCATTCACCGCCTTCCTCTACAACGGTGATGCAATCACCGTTTTTGTCTAACGCGGTGATGAAATCACCGTTTTCGTCTAACGCGGTGATTCAATCACCGCCTTGGTCAGACGCGGTGAAGGCCCAAACATGCGTAGATTGGGAATTTTTTTCATAACATGTGTATTTTGAATTTTTTTTTTTAAAACATGTGTACAGTGGGATTTTTTCCCTCAAAACTACCATATTCTCTATTGAGAAAAGATCAATGAATGAGATTGATTGTTTGTGGTAGTCAACTAGAGATAAATGGGTACACGTAGCAGTAGCAACATAAATGGGAGTGTGGAAGTGAAATCAAGTGATAAAAAACAAACCATCAAAGGGAAAGTGAAACTCTACCTTTATCCAAAAAAAAAAAAAGTATTCATTATTCACTCATGCAAAAGACCTCAGAACTTAAATTTCATACCCAGTTCACAAACCAAAGGAACATATATGCAAATTATAAATAAATAAAAACAAATGCATATCCAGCAATATGCAAATGAAGAAAATCATATCATAACGAAACTAGTTGAAGCTAAAAGCATTTAATCTCCTATCATATCTTATCCCGAATTTCTTAACCAGATTCCAACCCATCATTTTGACAATTGGGATGCTGCAACTAAGCCCACCATCTACGTAATAACAAGTTTACTCGAAAACGAACACGAACCCTGATGAAATCTTCATTTAACAACTTCCTTTTCATCTACTTAAACAGTTAACACCATCGACTAACAACATAAACAAAGGGTAAAAAAAAGCACTTCGAACCGAAAAAGGAAAACAAAATTTGTGCACCCTACTTGCTATCTCATTGATTACGGCTTCCTCTTCATGATTCTTCACTCCCTCCTTTTTTTCTTGATAATGGTGAAATTGCATTACCGAAAGGAAGTACACCAGGGGTGTAACAGTGTTCAGAGAAGGGAGGAAGATACAAGAAGGGCACCACAAGAGGTTCCCAGAGCAAGAACAGTGGAAAAGAAAAGAAAACAGAAGAAAGCCTGGACAGCAGGCTTTCCCAACCAAGAGCGCAACACACACTAATTGAACACACCAGGGCTGGGCTAGGGGAAACACAGAAAAAAAACATAGGTGATGAAGTACCAAAATACAGGGAAACACCTGCAAGGCTGCTAGATAAAAACCTCAACCTAAGTGATGACGTACCATATAAACAGGGAAACACCTTCAAGATTTGTATTTACTACAGTGACCATTGGAACCTCTCAGTATTATCGCGTGAGATAACTTGCTTCTTTCCCTTCAAATTGGGTTAAAGAGTTGCATCAGTTAGCTCCTCATGGTTTCGTTTCCCAACATCAGTACTATTAGAAGTATCCAAATATTCAAGTTCACCTTTGCTGCAACCTTGCAGTGATACATGAGAAGACATCTCAGATGTTCAACGCCACTACTAATAGATTGGGATGAGCCGAGGGCAAGTCAATCCCTGAGATGGAGAATGCAAATAAAAAAAAAAATAAAAAAATTCAGCATCAGCTAAGGTAGAAGGCAAAGATACAAATGAGACTACAATATCATGTCCCATAGTCGTCGCATATAGTTCCAACAAACCTCAATCATTCCTTTATTCACTCATACAACCGCAACTAGGAATTTATGAAATTGTTTAATACGGCCATTGAAACTAACATCAAAGTTGTCCATTCCTTAAAAGCGTGTACTCAAGTACAACTATATGTTCCAATTTTCCTTGTAAGAAAATAGAAAGATTAACAGATAGTTACAGTAAAGATCCAAACTTTTACAAATGCACCTATAATTTTCCAATTTCAAATGAATTAGTGTTATCTAGTTTAAGCAACCAAACAATTTACAATATTACTACCTCCAGCAATAAAATCATAGTTCTCATCTTTAGAACAACCTATTATTACATACATAAAGCAATTAACGCTTGTTGTGCATACTATTGGCCTTTTTCCCACTTCTATCGTAACTCTTTCACTTCAGCGTCAAAATGCTCTTTATCAATAAAAAGAAAAGCAAAATGACCAAAAAATAGCAGTAGTCTATTCAATCTGTAAAAGGACAGACAAAACAGAACTTCCATGACTAATTCATAACCTGATAGACACTGAATCCCTCTTCCGAAATGAAGCAAAGAAACTTTAGAAGTCGGTAAGATAAGCAGGAATCAGCAGCAGTACCTATTTTAGCAGGAGGAAATGGAGCCAAAGCCTAGGTTGTTTTTCAGTCGCTCCATTCAGCCGCGAGCATAAAACGAACAGAAACCATCGAGTTCTTGCGCTTAAGGGAAAGACGGAAGACAGAGGAAATCGACTTATCGGTTATGGGGCGAACAGTAGGAGGATTTTTTAATTTTGATGATGGTGATCTGGGAAAGGGTTTAGGGTTCGTTAAAGTGACGATGAAATTGATATGTTAATGCCTTAATGGGGTACAAAAAGGGAAAACATATGAATAATGGCCTGGTTGTTTAAATGGCCACAAATGGCTTCGGGAAGAAACAAAAAATAAAAAACAAAAAGGGACACCAGAATAAAAACTATCAATCATACAAAGATTAGGTGGGTAAATATCTATACGGAAGAAACAGGGTAGTATAATACAAAAAGTAATAAGAAAAATTGTTAGAGGACTATCATTGTATGTATAAACTTTTTAATGGACGTAGTAAGTAATTATAATTGATAATTAATACTTAATTTCATTACAAATAATAATGTGCGTTGGATTAGATCAACGGTGTAAATAATCTGGCGCATGCTATGCGTCAGGAGCATACGAGTGTTACCCATATATATATATATATATATGGGGAGTTCTACGGTACCCCGGGTGAAATCCAGGGTACCGCATACCTTAAGTAAGAAAACGCTA